CCCCCCAAAAAAAAAAAAAAAAGGCGAGTCGCATCCCCCAGATTCTTATTCTTCCCGATGAAGAGAGCGAAGGTGGGTAGGATCTGCCGGTAGTACGGAACCTGAGGGTTTAGGGTTTAGGGTTTAGGGTTTAGGGTTGAGGGATTTCGGTGCCTTTTTCGGGTGGTTTTCGGGGGTGGGGTTTTGGAGAGTTTAAGGAATTTAGGGGAGTTTAGAGCTTAGGGTTTGGGGATTTGGGGCTTAGGGCTTGGGGTTTAGGGTTTAGGGTTTGGGGTTTAGGGCTTTGGGCTTGGGGTTTTAGGGTTTAGGGATGAGGCTGAGGGCTTTGGGATTTCGTGTTCTTTGGTCGTTGGGGGAAGGAACCTCCCCGCTGGGGCTTTAGAGTTTTTGGGGGTTTAGGGTTTAGGGTTTGGGGTTTAGGGTTTAGGGTTTAGGGGTGCTTTAGGATTTTCCCGGGCTTAAGGAACGTCTTAAGGAAGGAAGCAACGAAACTAAGTTCTGGGGCTTTAGCGGTTTTTCGGGCTTAAGGAATTCGTGGGCTCCTGCCGGCAGTCAGAACCCTATGCCGCTGCGCGGCTCCTGCCTGACCCTAAAGCCTAAACCCTACATAAAAACTAAGTCGGGTTGTGTGGTGCAACGAGCCCAATGGATCCGGGTTCGTAGCTTGGGGTGTTCCTAGATTTCGTTCGGCTCCCGTCGTCAAGAAATCCGGCCATGATGTTAAACGCCTAAACATTGAAGCATATATCCCCTGTGCTATATCTATACTTGGACACCCCAAGGAATTCTATTGCCGAAGGAATTTCTATTGCTCCTGAATTCGGGGCTCATGCAGCCTGTAATATAGGGGCCTTAATAATTACCATAGGGTTTTGGGGTATATTGTACTATAGTTATAATAAGGAACCCCCCAAAATAATATAGGTAACTGTTAGGGCCCCCATAGTAATCTCATGCGGAGCCACAAGAGCTTCCCCGATCATGTCACCACTGAGCACCAACGTCTGCAGCACCTCCGCGAGTCGTCAAGCGGCAACCCTAAACCATGAACCAACCGTAGCCCCAAACCCGGATATTAATCAAGCAATGAAGGGGCCATAATATTTAGAATAGGGTTTCGCGGTCCATTATACTACAAAGATAAACAGGAACCCTAAGGAATAATAGTTTTTTAGGCCCGTATATTAGAACAAGGTGTTTCCATCCGGAGCTCAAGACGTGCTCTCCCAAAACAAGCTCTGGGTGCAGGGCTCAGGGTTTCCAGCATGGGGTTTAGGGTTTGGGGTTGAGGGCAACCCAGGGACCAAGGTACCCTTTTAAGTACACCTTAACTTACGGAGGGATCCTTAATGTAAGTGAGTGGCATACCCCTTTCTTGAACGGGGGTGTGTCCCATTGTGACAGGTGGCACAACGAGTTGTTCCAAATTCCTCACCACTCTGCTACACGAAGATGAAAAAATGTGGAAGCATGCAACCTAGATAAACCGTGTCGTCACATCGTCACCCTGCACTCCTCGCCGAAGCGATGCGTCGAGGCAGGAGACACAGCCCGTTTGAAAGGGCGCTAGGGTTTCAGAATTATTGGGTGCATAGGACATCTACACTGGCCCTTAAACCCTTGCTTTCCTGAATAGGGTATCCTGATCGCTAGACCTCTCGCCACGAAGCACGAACCCTGACCCATCCACCTCAACAAAAAAGGAACGTCCCGAAACCCTTGACTCACTACCGAAGCAAGACCCCAGCATACACTAACCTTTGCTGTTCTGTTGCAAGCCCTAGACCCCAAACCCTAAACCCTAAACCTTGACCCTAAAACCCCTAAACTCCTTAACCCTGAACCCTAAACCCCTAAACCCCTAAACTCCGAAAACCCCAAAACCCTAAACCCTAAACCCTAAACCCCTACAGCTTGCTCTGAGGCTTAGGGCACTTCCTACTCGGATTAGAAGTAGACTCGTCGGCGAATACGTACCCCTAGTTGGGCTTAGGTTCTCAGGGCTGAGGGCCACAGTTGAGGGGTTTAGGGTTTAGGGTCTAGGGCCGGTTTGGGGTTTTAGGGTTCAGGGTTCAGGGTTTAGGGTTTAGGGTTTAGGGTTTAGGGATTGGGGATTGGGGTTTAGGGTTTAGGGATTGGGGTTTAGGGGGCTTGGGGTCGGCATCTCAACCGAGTTAGAAGTCGAGCCGGCCCTTCAGTGCAATGCTGCGAGCCCTGAACCCCCCAAGCTCCCTGAACCTGGAGCCCGAATGCAAGCCCTAGCCCTTTAGGGTTTAGGGTTCAGG